TTAGGGAGTTCAGATTTCTGTATAAACTTTCCATTCACTGTGCATGCAATATTTCTGTTTATATGTAAGATAAGTATGTGTCTGGTATTTAAATAAATGGACTCGTAATGGCATGCATTTCATGGTTCTGTAAAGCAGTATTGCATTGTGGGTAACATTTTAAATTACCCGATACAAATGTATATGTACAAGTGCCCCTTGCCAATATTCAAGTTTTTTGTCATCGTGCACATCATTTTTTTTTCCCCAAAAATTTTGACTCTGCCAATATGAATTTGTGCATAAAAATTGCCAAAATATTGCACTAAAATTTGTGTTCAAAGGGCCGAGACGAGCTGTCGCCGTATTAGAAAAATTTATAGCGACAACAATTTTTTAGCTCCGCTGTCGACTTTGTCGAGCGGAGCTTATCATATGAGTGATTGTCCGTCGTCGTCGTCCGTCGTCGTTGTCCGTCGTCCGTGTCAATGTTTTACTTTTTCGACTTCTTCTTGAAAACTACAAGCCTGAATGCTTTGATACTTGGTGTATATGTACCTTGGGTAGACCTCTCTTAGGTTTGTTCATTTCATGTTGATATCTTCAATTCTCTAATTTTGGTGAATAATTTTGTCATTTTTGGTAAAAAGTGATATTTTCGACTTCTTGTTAAAAACCGCAAGTGCAAATGCTTTGATAATACATATATAGGTACTACATGTGGACCTCTCTCAGATTTGTTCATTTTGTAATGATATCTTTAATTCTCTAATTTTGGTGAATATTTTTGTCATTTTTGGTAAAAAGTGATATTTTCGACTTCTTGTTAAAAACCGCAAGTCCAATTGCTTTGATACTACATATATAGGTACTACATGTGGACCTCTCTCAGATTTGTTCATTTCGTGATGATATCTTCAATTCTCTAATTTTGGTGAATATTTTTGTCATTTTTGGTAAAAAGTGATATTTTCGACTTCTTGTTAAAAACCGCAAGTCCGATTGCTTTGATATTACATATATAGATACTACATGTGGACCTCTCTCAGATTTGTTTATTTTGTGATGATATCTTCAATTCTCTAATTTTGGTGAATATTTTTGTAATTTTTGATAAAAAGTGATATTTTCGACTTCTTGTTAAAAACCGCAAGTCCAATTGCTTTGATACTACATATA